AGTGAATACCACCCTGAGTATTAACAGGTACTTACTTTTCATATTTCTACATAACTGGTTTCCATAGCCTACGTAACAGAAGCATCTACAGAATCAGAGTAAGATTAGTGTTAGATAATAAAAAACTAATTATTTGTCATTAATGTTAAATATTTCAAAATGTCCTACAAAGAAATCTGTCAAAAAATTATTATGGTATAAAAGGGCTCTAGTATACATAGCTAGGCTTAGATGAAATCATCATTTTTAAGGACAGCCACTTTTCACAATTCAATTAAGTAGTATTAATTTTGGAAATCTGTGATGAAACAGTGTCAGTAAGATTCCTGATGTGGGAGTAAATACAAAGTATTCGTAGCCTGTTTAAAAGACTGAAATGTCTTCGAACAGGAATCTAACACAAATTTTTTAAAAAATTTCAGATTAGGCTCAGAGCCCGTAGCTCAGTGAGTAGGGTGCTGGCCACATTAGCCAAAACTGGCAGGTTGGAGCCGGGCCTGGGCCTGCTAGACAACAATGACAACTGCAACCAAAAAATAGCAAAGCATTGTGGTGGGCACCTGTTGTTTCAGCTACTTGGGAGAACGAGGCAAGAGAATCACTTAAGCCCAAGAGTTGGAGGTTGCTGTGAGCTGTGATGCCATAGCACTCTACTAAGGGCAACATAGTGAGACTCTGTCTCAAAAAACAAACAAATAAAATAAAAATTTCAGATTAATAGGATACAAATGTTTACATTACATTGTTTTCATTTCTAAGGTAAAGTTCAACTAACACAAATTCTTGACATTCAATGGAACCTACTTTGTACTGAGTGAATATATGTAAGTTAGTTTTGTTTGTCAGAATGACATTTTTGAAGTAAATTTTATAGGGTGGGGTGAGAAGACAAAAAGGACAGAAGCATAACTCAAACATCAAATAATACTTCTCACTATGCACACTTATCTAGATATAAGGAATGTGTTAAACAACTATAACTAACAGAACTTATTTATTATTTTTTGAAACAGTCTCACTATGTCACCCTTGGTGTCACAGCTCACAGCAACCTCCAACTCTTGGGCTTAAGCGATTCTCTTTTCTCAGCCTCCTAAGTAGTTGGGATTATAGGCCCCACCAAAACGCCCAGCTATTTTTTGGCTGCATTTGTTGTTTAGCAGGCTGGGGGCCCCAGCTAGAACTCACCAGCTTTAGTCTATGTGGCTGGCGCCCTACTCACTGAGCTAAAGGTGCCGAGCAAACTAGTAGATTTTAAATGCAACTAAAGGATTTAAAATAAAAAGTTGATATTAAAGTACATGGGGTGTTTTTTGGTCTGTTTATGGCAAAAGAACTTGGAAAACTGCAAAAATCAGCTCACAAAGGTTCTTTGTAGGCTGTACATCCAGTGCTAAGATTATAATACTCCATTCATTTTAAACATTAGTCACACTTGCAATGAAAAAACAATGTGAAAGTAAATTACTGAATTGTCCCTCAAAGCAAAATAGAAAACATTCCTAACATAAGAGTTATTCAAAATGTTAACAAGGAGAAAAGAAAGTAAAAGTAAGGAAGCCGCTGCTTCTCATTTTCTTGGCAATGTTATTCCAAAATGAAGTGAACATATTTCCTTTCTTTAAGAAAATCCTTCATCAAAATTAATTCCGCTTTCCCATAAAAATATTAAGTCAGTTTTCTCGGTAAAACACATTATTCTTCATATAACTCTTACAAAGATTAATTTAAATGTCCCAACTTTCAGTAACTCTTGTTTCTAGAAGTGTCCATCTGTAATTGAATTAGTGTGATCAGTTATAGACCACTCCAAAAAGCTAACTATGAAGATTAAAGAATTGCAACTTACTCTGATAAACTGAATAAATAATCTAAGTGAGTAATACATCTTGGCCAATGAGGCTCTGACAAAGTTTTCCACGTGTACAGGGGTATAAAGCCAAAGATAATTCAAAAACAATGCACAATATCAGAGAGACTATCAGATCATCTGACTGACTCTGTGGCTCAGATAACAGTATCAGTGCCAGTTAAAAAATGTGTTCTCTGAAAATTAACTATGATTTGAATGGGAATATGTTAAAAAAAAATCCTCAAATCTTTGTGAATTAAGTCTTGGGGCAGTAGGCAAGTCCAAACCCCCAATTAGGATATAATTTAAAAGCACCCCAAATCTTCCAAAAATGGGTTAGCAGGATACAAGAGTAGATACTACTGAAGTTTCTCAACTTAATTCAGTGACACGTGAAATAAATTCAACTCCTCTCAGTTTTCTAATTGTTGAAAGAGGCTACTGCTTCAGACCTACTCTTTAATTAGATAACATTTTAAGTGAAAATCCCCATTAAAAAAAAAAAGACACGACCTGGAACACAATTGAGGGACTCCCTTTATGACAATCTGATAGGTTTGGGAAAGCTTTCTCAATATGCAAAAACATCATTATATGCTCCTTTTTGTTAAAATGTTTTATTTTCATGGAGAAAATGCACAACTTATAAAATTACAGCTTAAGGGTGGCACCTGTGGCTCAAAGGAGTAGGGCACTGGCCTCATATGCCAGGGGTGGCAGGTCCAAACCCAGCCCTGGCCAAAAACTGCAAAAAAAAAAAAAAAATTACAGCTTAAAAAAAAAAAAACCTACCATTTCTCATTTTCTCTTAATCCACTTCAAAATGTCCATGCAGTTTTTAATAATCAATGCAGTCTTAACAAAACATTTTCACCATAAAACCAAAAAAGTGCAGGAATAAGAGAAAGATAAAGAATTAAGTTAGTGAAAGGAATATCAGACTAGAATTGAGAGATTTCGTTAGCTGTGAGACCTTAGAAATGTCATTTCACATTCCTGATGTTCTCTTTCCTCATTCAATTGTTAGGCACAAGGTAAATGATTGTCATAGTTTCCTTTCTAGTCTAGTAAAAAAAAAAATTCCAGACTGGGTGGGGCAGCATCTGTGGCTCAAAGGAGTAGGGCACCGGTCCCATATACTGGAGGTGGAGGTGGCGGGTTCAAACCCAGCCCCAGCCAAAAACTGCAAAAAAAAAAAAGAAATTCCAGACTGGGTGTGGTAGCTCATGCTTATATTTCTAGCACTTTGTCAGGTGGTGGCAGGGGGATCACTTGAGCCCAGGACTTTGAGGTTGCTGTGAGCCAGGCTAGCTAGCCACCTAGACTAATCTTCCGTGGCATCAGTCTGGCTCACAGCAACCTCAAACTCCCAGGTTCAAGCAATCCTCCTGCCTTAGCCTCCCAAGTAGCTGGACTATAGGCACCTGCCACAACACCAGGCTAATTTTTCTATTTTCAGTAGAGACAGGGTCTTGCTTAGGCTGCTCTCGAACTCCTGACCTCAAACTATCCTCCTGCCCTAGCTTTGCCAGAGTGCTAGGATTACAGGCATGAGCCACCATGCTCAGCTTAAGGGACAGTTATATTTATCCTGGCTTTTTATTTTTTTTTTGAGACAGAGCCTCAAGCTGTCACCCTGGGTAGAGTGCTGAGGTATCATAGCTCACAGCAACCTCCAACTTCTGGGCAAGTGATTCTCCTGCCTCCGCCTCCCAAGTAGCTGGGATTACAGACACCCGCCACAACACCTGGCTATTTTTTGGTTGCAGCTGTCATTGTTGTTTGGCGGGCCTGGGCTGGATTTGAACCTGCCAGCTCAGGTATATGTGGCTGTTGCCTTAGCTGCTTGAGCCACAGGCACGAGCCTTTATCCTGGCTTTTTACAAATGAGAAACTGAGCACTCAAATGGTCCCAAATAGCAATTCAGCAGCATATAAATGTCAAAGCAGGAGTTCGACCTCACTTCTCCAACTTCAAATCCATTAGTTCTACTACCATACAAAACAGTCTGGTGACAGTATTTTTGACTATCACCAAGGACTCCAGAGACACAAAAACGAGAAAAAAAAAAAAAGACCAAGTAAATATCCCCAAAGGTTTTAGCTTGTCCTAGCATTTTTAAATGTTCTCCATTATTAGAATTAACACAACATTCATTCCCATTGATTCTCACTACTTAAACTACGGATGAATATGAAACTCACATGGACTTTATCTTTGCCTCATTTGGTCATTGCTTTCTGGGTTATTCTTGTTTATGTATTTCTCTGATAAAATTTTAAAGTTAGATTGCTTACTGGGGCTTTTCTACTGCCCCTAAATACCTATGAATACAAACTAGCCTTTAATAAGAAAGATAAATCATAGAATTTTTTAAATAACTCAAGTCTGTGCTTCATATTATTATATCAATTTGATCCAGTCAATTCTAAAATTTATGATCTATGAAACCAAAAGTTTTTATTAACACCTATTTGGAAAAATATTGACCTGCTAAATGTTCTCCATGTATTATTATAAAATGGTAGTAATGGCTGGGTATAGTGGCTCATGCCTGTAATCCAAGCATTATGGGAGGCAGAGGTGGGAGGATTGCTTGAGGTCAGGAGTTTGAGAACAGCCTGAGTGAGATCCCATCTCTACAAAAAACCAAAAAATTAGCCAGACATACTGGCTCTTGCCTATAGTCATAGCTATTTGGGAAGCTAAGATAGGACGGCTGCATGGGCCCAGAAGTTTGAGGTTATAGTGAGCTATCTTGATGCCAATGCACTATAATTAATGTGACAGTGAGAACTGTCTCAAAAAATAGTAATAAAAATAAATAATATAGCACTCATGGCTGCCCGCCCCTCCCTCGCCTTCTCCACGTGCCACAGAGCCGGAGCGCCAGCCTCTGCTGTAGCCACAGCCACGGGCACTACGGTCTGCAGAGTCGACACAATTAGGAAGGTATTTTTGCTTCTGCTCCTGAAGCTCTGACATCACTCAGTGAAATAGGAAATATTTCAGGAATGGGACAGCTTGTGTTTGTCCCTTCTGCTCTACCTTCCCATTAGCTTCTATGTCCAAACCTCTTTAAGAAGATGAATGAGCAGGGTGAGTTAGAATCCTTCGGTGTATCATATACTGATTTTTAAAACGTGACAATCTGATTGGACTACTTGCACAGCTTCTGGAGTTACAGTGAATGATGAAGTCATCAAAGTTTTTAAAGACATGAAAGGAAATCTTCTACACAAGAGGAGATAAAAAAAAAGGAAGAAAGCTTAAGTGATGACAAAAGCCAAGTAATTGTAAAGGAAGCAAAGCAGATCATAGTGGGGGACATTGGTGACACTGTAGAGGACCCCTACACATCTTCTGTGAAGTTGCTACCTCTGAATGATTGCCGATATGCTTTGTACAATGCCACATATGAAACAAAAGAGTCTCAGAAAGAAGACCTAGTATTTATTTTCTGGACTCCCGAAAGTGCACCTTCAAAAAGCAAGATGATTTATGCTAGCTCTAAAGATGCCATTAGAAAGAAATTTACAGGTATTAAATATAAGTGGCAAGTAAATGGCTTGGATGATGTTAAGGACCATTCGACACTTGGAGAGAAATCAGGAAGCAATGTAGTAGTTTCACTTGAAGGAAAAGCATTATAAAATGCCAATCAAGTGCCACCTGGATCTTAAGGAGCTTCCATTTCTCCAGCTCAGTCCTTAGAATAGTATTAGGTCTTGTTTTTTTTGTTTTATTCCCTTTTCACTGGGTCCTAACAACCTATCAGTGATTGCCATTAGACTGTTTAATATTGTTACTTTTATGTAGAACCTAAGGAATGCCTTCCGGTCATAATTTAGCCAAAATAACTGGTAATATGCCTCCCTTGTCACAAGCACTACAATGAATGTGTTTGTCAATGTGAATAGCTTAGAATACTGCTAAGGGTAAGCTAATTGAATGCCTTGAAAGTATCCAGCAGTCAGACGGTAAACTTTTTTCAGTATTATTTAAAGTTGCACTTGATTGCAATCTGTGAGGCTCAAGCATTCAAACACCTCACCTGCCTTGGCAAGCCTATTTTTGTGACATGGCAGCACGGATATAACACTATGCATTAAAAGCACTTTTTTGAGACAAGTTTAATCTCCCAAAAGGAATTCCAATTAAGTTTTGTTAACTTTCAATTTATCCTAGTACCTCAGTGTCCATTCCTGTTACCTGGAGATCTTAAAAGAAGTAGCTGTTATCAGGTGGGCATGGTGGCTCATGCCTGTAATCCTACCACTCTGTGAGGCCAAGGCGGGTGGATTGCCTTGAGCTTAGAGGTTCAAAACCAGCCTGAGCCAGAGTGAGACCCCATCTCTACTTTAAAAAAAAAAAAAAAAGGCAGGGATTGTGGTGGGTGCCTGTAGTCCCAGCTGCTTGGGAGGCTGAGGCAAGAGAATCATTTAAGCCCAAGAGTTGGATGTTGTTGTGAGCTATGATGCCACAGCACTCTACTGAGGGTCACAAAGTGAGACCCTGTCTCAATTAAAAAAAAAAAAAAGGAAAGAAATAGCTGTTATTATAGCCTTTTGGTTTTCTGTTGAGTGTACACTACTGAATAAGTGTAGGAGTTTTATGTTTACCAGGTGAAGCCTACAACACTAAAGATATTTTGAATATCAGTCATGATGGCAATTCCTATATAAAAGAGCCTTAAATGGAACACTGTTTTCTTTTTTTTTTTTATTGAATGGTAACTATGTACATTAATGCACTTCTGGGGTACAGTGTGGGGTTTTCACATGCAATCCGAAATAGGAACATTGTTTTGAGATCAAACTCCCTACCCTCACAAAAATGGCCATGTTGCAATAAAAATTGTGGCATATTACAAAAATAAATAAATAATATAAAATAAAAACTTTTCCTTTTGAAATATACTGTTAACAAAGCTACGTGGCCCCTGTGGCTCAGTGAGTAAGGCACCGGCCCCATATACCAAGGGTGGTGGGTTCAAACCTGGCCCCGGCCAAACTATAACAAAAAAATAGCCGGGCGTTGTGGTGGGCACTTGTAGACCCCGCTACTCAGGAGGCTGAGGCAAGAGAATCACCTAAGCCCAAGAGCTGGAGGTTGCAGTGAGCTGTGATATCACAGCACTCTACCAAGGGTGAGGGTGACAAAGTAAGACTGTCTCTTAAAAAAAAAAATCAAAGCAAACAGGTAAGCCGTAAGCCACAGAACGAGAGAAAATATTTGCAGTACATACATGTGACGAAGTACTTATACCAAGATAAATATGAAGGCAATGTTGTATTAGTACAGAGAGGAACAAACTGACCAAGGTAAAATTCTTGTGTATTTGGAACTGTTTAGGACAGAGATGGCAAGACAGATCACTGGGGCAAAGTGAGAGTATTTGATAAAAATGTATTGAAAAACTGGTTATTAAAGTAAGAAAAGATAATTTGGATTCCCTATGAAAGCCCATGTGGTGAGAATAAGATGGAGAAAGTCAGGCCAGGGCCAACACGACACAGCTGGTCTGATCAGTTTAGGTCCTAATGACCTTTACCTCCTGTCTCCCATTCTGGTTTTGTACATTTAACTCCCACCCTAAAGATGTCTATCTTGAGTAGTTTAGTTGGATTGATGAGATTAACTTTTGAATTGGAATGTTGTAATAAGTCATGAGTTATGCTAATTATTATTTAAAGTAAGTGTTAATGTGGTCTTTGCTTTGCACTTTTATGCATAAAACTGTGATGTTGGAAATGGAACAATGAGGCTACTCTCATTGTTCTCTGGAATCACTGGCCTTCTAACAAGTAAAATTTGGTGAACCTATCCCCAGCTCTGCACATTGCCTGACAGTGACAAATAGCTGGACCCTCTTTGTCCAGTAACACCTACACTAAATCATGTACAAAGTTCAATTCCAAATGGATTAAGAATTGAAAAGTCAAAAAGCAAAACTTTTGCAAGGAAACAAATACTTTTCTGCCTTGGGATAGAGAAGGACTTGTTAAGATACACAAAAGAGTGATCCAGAAATCAAAAGACTAATAAACTATAAAATAATTAAGATGAAAATTTAAGGGTGGCACCTGTGGCTCAGTGACTAGGGTGTTAGCCCCATATACCGAGGGTGGTGAATTCAAACCCAGCCCTGGTCAAAATGCAAGAACAAAAAAATAAAAATAAATAAAGTTAAAAAAAAAAAGATGAAAATTTAAATCCAGTCCAGGTACAGTGGCTCACACCTGTAATCCCAGCATTCTGGGAGGACAAGGTGGATAGACTGCCTGAACTCAGTAGTTCAAGACCAGCCTGAGACAGAGGGAGACCCCATCTCTACTAAAGATAGAGGAAAAAATAAAAACTAGCCGGGGTTGTGGAGGGCGCCTATAGTGCCAGGTACCTGGGAGACTGAGGCAAGAGAATGGCTTGAGCCCAAGAGTTTGGGGTTGCTGTCAGCTATGATGCCATGGCACTCCACCCCAGGGTGACTGAGTGAGACCCTGTCTTAAAAAAAAAAATTTAAATCCATCATGAAAAGAAAGACCAGAGAAACAAACAACTGATAATAAACTAACAGGCAGATTACATTTAGTATCAATCGTATTAAGAAAAAGACAATGCTATAAACCTAAAACAGGCAAATGACACAAAGAGGAATTTCATAGCAGAGAAAATATGTATTGACAATAAAGACATCTACTTACCCTCACTGACAACCAAAAAATATAAATAAAAATCACAATGAGACCATTTGTTATCAATTAGCTTTTGTTGTATAACAATTTAACCTCACAGCTTAGTGACTTAAAAAGTAATTTAATATTTTTCTGAGGGTAGGTGAGGCAGTTCTGGTCTGGGTTAGCCTGGCTCTTGACCTAAGCAGGCCTCACTTACCCAGGATTGATCTGCATGGTCATCCTACCTCCAACAGATTACCTTGTGCCTTTTTCATATGGTGACTCAGAGTTCCAAAGAGCAGTAAGAGAGGACAAGCCCCACCATGCAAGAGCTTTTCAAACTTGTGCTTGTGTCATACCTGCCTATGTACCACTGGTCAAAGCAAGTCACACATCTAAATGTAAAATCAAGGGGTGGAGAAATAAGACTCTAGAAGTAAAATCACATTGCAAAGGGTTATACATACAGTAACAGGAAGAATTAATTGGCCATTTTGCAATTCTGCAACCTGCCACTCAATTTTACAATCTACCACATCACTTTTACATGAATTCCTCTGGCAAAAAGTAGGACTTGTGGCAATAACAAAGTTGAAGAAACAAGTTACAAAGTTTAATACTGGCACACACTATGCCTGCAATCCTATTCTCAGGTATATAACCACCGTAGTTGAATCTGTTCCCTCTAAAATTCAGGTGTTACCAATTTAGCATTACTAAATGGCTCATGCCTATAATCCCAGCACTTCTGGAGGCCAAGGCAGGAGGAATGCTGGAGCCAGGAGTTCAAGATCAGCCTGGGCAACATAGCAAGACCTGTCTCTTAAAAAAGAAAAAAAATGTTAGCTGGGCATGATGGTGTGTGCCTGCAATCCTGGCTACTAAGGAGGCTGAGCTGGGAACACTGCTTAAGTCCAGAGTTGGAGGCTGAAGTGAGTTGTGATCACACCACCACATCATACTCTAGTCTGAGTGACAGAGCAAGAAAGTGATTAACCAGTAAGGGCTCCTCCCTTGTGAATAGGAGATTAGGTATCCTTACAAAGGGGTCCGGCTGAGGAAGTTCACCCTTTTTGCCCTCCTACATTCTGCCTCGTGAGGATAAACAGCATTCGAAGTGCCATCATGGAAACAAAGCAACCTTCATCCAATGTAAGCACTTTGATCTTGGACTTCCCTGCATCCACAACTGGGAGAAATAAAATTCTGTTTTTTATAAATTACTCAGTCTGTGGTATTCTCTTACAGCAGCATAAAACAGACGAAGACAGAAACTGGTACCAGGAGTGGGGTGCTGCTATGACAAAAACCTAAAAATGTGGAAGCAGCTTTGGACTTGGCTGAGTAGAGGCTAAAGCAGTTTGGAAGCGAATTCTGGAGAAAGGCTACACTACTGTGAATGGAGGTTTAAAGGCAATTCAGGTGAGAGCTCAGAAGAGCTGTAGGGAAAGTTTCAGACTTCTTAGAGGTTACTTTAAGTGGTAATAAGCAATATGGTAGAATTATGGAAAGTAAAGGCCATTTTAATGAGGTCTCAGATGGAAATGAGGAAGGTGGTATTGGAAATGAGTGGAAAGGTCATCCTTGTAATTAAGTAGTAAGAACTTGGGTGAATTATTCATGACCTAGGACTTTATGGAAGGCAAAACTTAGCAGTGATGACCTATTTAGAAGAAGAAATATCTAAGCCACAAAGCATTCAGCACTTGCATGACTTCTCTTAACTGTTTATACCAAAATCTGAGAAGAAAGAAATAGTTTGTAGATAGAGTTTATAATCAAAAGGGAATAAGAATGCAAAGATTTAGAACATTTTCAGGCTGGCAATGTAATGAATGGAAAAGTACATTTAGAAGAGAAAGCTAGGGGTGTGGCCAAGTGACCTTTTGATTAAAAGATCAGTAAAGACAGAAGGAAGCCAGGTGCTATCCATCAAGGGGAGAAGGACCTTAGAGGCATTTCAGAGATCTTCAACGTACCCCTTCCATCACAGGTCCAGAGTATAAGGTACTTGAGGACAGAACAGTTTAAAGGGAAGGGCTCAGGATGCAAAAGTAAAAGCTATAAAAGACTCAAATATTCATTGTCAAGAGCATAGATAAACTGTGGTTCACTTCCATAATGAAGTATCACAAGCAGTGAAAATGGATTTTTCATCTACTTATTTAACAAGTATTTACTCAATACATACTACATGTCAGACATAGTTGGCTAGAAATACAGTAGTGAACAAAAATTCAAACACGTTCTCAGATGTGATAAGTACAACAGTGTGAAATAAAATTCGTATGTGTTCACATGTATGTGTTTACGCACAATTTTTAACAGAGTCAACAGAGAAACGTTCTCTGACAATCTGACATTAGAGAACGAGCATGAAAAAACCTGGAGAAGAACTCTGCAGAGGAAGAAAAAGAAGTACAAAGACTTTGAGGCAGGAGTCTGCTTGGAGTGTTTCACTTACCAGTAGTGATTAAGGTTATTGATAAATCTGAATATTTAACTTCTTAAATTAGGGTTTTGCAGATATATAAAATTAATTTCAAGTTTATTGAAATATTTTTGGAAATAA